TTAATGTTAAAATCTACTGTATGAATTTCTTTTTGTTATAGGACGACTGTGTTGCCCGCTAGGAATGATCGGTATCAAAATCCCGCCACCACCAAATGTACCACCGTTCTTCGGGCTTCGGCCCTCGAATCCAGGAGAAGTGATTCCACGTGGTTCTTTGCCATCCGATAATAATCAGGAGAAACATGGTAAGACATGGACATTGTCACTCAGAATTATTTAAATTTAATCAGTTGAATTTGAATGAAACTGTAAAATATCTTGCTCTCGAATGCTTGTTGCCAGCTGTCGTAGATAGAAAGATTGATGAGTAACATTCCGAAAGCATCATTAACATGTGATTCTCTTTCGATCTGTACGAACGGTTTTGATATTCCCAATATACATTTACTGCCACTTCTTTTTAGATTCCTTTAGACAGCAACAAACCTATTCTCATAGCCTCGCAGAACGCATCACCAAAAATGACAAGAAGGCTTGGAGGGAATTTTAATGATAGGGTGTTCGGACATTTGGTTTGTTCCTCTGTTTTCTTTTTCTTGAATACCGTTTCAGCAGTAAATGCGTCCTCGCCGTTGTCTGCAGATTCGCCCATTGGCGAAGGATCAGTGCGTTCCATTTTGGCTAGTGGAGTCAAATTAGCCGCAGCAGACGGTTCGGATTTTTCTTTGAGATTTCATGCAAAGTTATTTTTGCTTTTCTTTTAATTTTTGGAAATACTTGGTCGTTTATTACACTAGACAACCAAAAAAAACTTTCGCTTATAAATTCTTTGTAATTAGAAAAATGTGGGTATATTAAAATGATGCTGAAAGAATACAAAAATTTAACTGAAGAGGGAATTATGCAGAGGAGATTATAATGTTTAATGATGGTTCCTTTGATATTTTAGAGTCGATTGACCAGGATGAACCCTACGGTCGAATGATGTTAAAAGCAAAAGGCAAGGATCTGCGGGCGCAAGGTTTCTTTTGTATTTGCACTCGATGATTCAAAGCTTTTGCCATATTTCGCTCCTTACAAAAAATGGAGACTCTCAGAAATAGCCCAAGCAGTGTCAACAACAGTTACCCGCGGGCAGGACCGTCGATAACTTCTTTCTTCATGGTTTGTCATGGGGGCATTCATTTTCTGGCACCTTTCAGTACCAGTATGCTGTTGAAACGAATCAGCGATTATTAGGATTAGTTTTTGATTGGGGAACTCGATCCAATGATTAAAGCCTGAAGGTAACACTTT